CAGTTTCTGGAATGAACTTTGGTTAGGGGAAGAGAATTTGAAGATCATGTTCCCAGATCTTTATATATTGAGCCTACAACAGATTGACACTGTGGCACAAGTGTGGAGCCCTCAAGGTTGGGATTTGATCTTTAGGAGGGCTTTAAATGACTGGGAGGTTGATAGAGTAGCAGGATTATTACACACACTAAATGCATTTGCAGGTGTCACTGAAAGTCCTGATACTCCAGTCTGGAAAATGCACAAGAAAGGGATTTTTTCTGTGAAGTCTTGTTACTGGAGCTTAAACTCTAATCAGGCTATGGAAATGGAATGGCCTTGGAAACTAATTTGGAAAATCAAGATCCCTCACAAGGTTTCAGGTTTCACTTGGTTGGCAATCAGGAAAGCATGTCTATAACCCATGAAGTGTTACAAAGAAGAGGTATACAGATTTGCTCAAGGTGTTTCATGTGTGGGGAAGAGGCAGAAGTTAATAGTCACTTATTCTTACACTGCAGAACAACTGCAAATCTGTGGGACATGTTCTTATGTATACTTGGAGTTAACTGGGTAATGCCCAAGCTACTTTAGAGTTGTTGAGACAGTGGGAAGGAGTGGGCAGAAGAAGAAGATCCAAAGAGGACTGGTGGAAATGCATCCCAGCCTGCATCTGGTGGACATTGTGGGAGGAAAGAAACGAAAGATCACATGATGGGAAACTTAACAGCACTCAGAAAATCAAGATGAATAGCTAGAGCCTGCTGTATTTTTGGTGTAAACAGGATTTGGTGGGGGAGGTAGATAGTGGATTTTAAAGCTCAATTGAGCCTGCCCAGTTTTTGGCTTTTGAAATCCCCCCCTGGGGGCTGTAAATCCCACCTCATCAGGCTTTGCTGATGAGTTTTGTTGTGAATATAAAGTTACCTTATCAAAAAAAGAAGATGTTCCACCTGAAACATCTTTTCCCTAGCCATCGCACCCCAAAGGAAATTCTTTGCAACCTTCTATCTTACCTATCACACTGGTAAGAGCATTTAACAAGGACATAAATAAGTAGGAGATACTCGACAAAGTGTTATTCATCAGCATTTCCTTCCCCCTCTTTTGGACAAGTACCTTTTCTGTCAGTCTGCCAGCCATTTCTCTACCATCTGGATGACCGGATTTCAAACGTTGTGATTTGATGCGCATGGGGAAGCCCAAGATAGGTAATAGGTATCTTCACCTACAATGCAACACTTGAGCCAACAAATCAATGTTACCAACTTCTTCAGTCAGTACGATCTCACACTATTCTGAGGTTGATTTTTAGTCCTAATACCACCTAGAATCAAGTCAACACTTGTCCAATGTATTTCAACTAGATCCCATCTGCATCACAAAACACCAAAGTATCTTTTGTAAATAAAAGATGTGTAACCAATACAAAATTGTCACCACCAACTGTGGCCTTGAAACCCTTGATATGTCCGCCTAAAACAGTTCTATCCATCATTCTGCTCAAAGCCTCCATCACCAAAATAAAGAGCATAGGTGATAAAGGATCTCCTTACCTCGATCCCCTCGAACTACCAAAGAAACCACATGGATTTCTATTCACCAAAATTGAGTATCTCACAGAAGAGATGCAATAACTGATTCTTTTCTCCATTTCTCCATAGTCAAAACTAATTTGATGGATACTATTGTTGAATTCCAAGATAGTAGTGCACTCGTCTCCTTTTTGGACTTTAAGGAAACTATTTTTTATTTTTTCCAATTTCCATCATTTCCTTTAGTATTTTTCTTGAAATAATAGGATAAAAATGATAGCAATAGGAGGGCGTGTATTCTATTATATTGATGTACCGTACCCATTCATCTCAGGCTACCAAACTTATGGAAATGCATTTCTTGAAGCATTAAATGATTCTACTTTTTTATAAAAGTAAATTGCATTAAGGCGTTAAATGATTTTATCCTATAGATTCTTGGAATCAATATAGACTTAGCGGAAAAATAGAACACAACTAAAAGGTAAAGCTCCTTATAATCAAACCCGACTATCTAGACAAAGGTTTACTCATGATGGTACATTTACATTATGCTTTAGTCTATTTAAAGATTCGTATGTCCATTGAAAACAACTTCTCTACCTTCACAAGGTAGGAGTAAGGCTACATAAACACCACTCTTCCCAAACCCCAAATGTAGGATTACACTGGGTATGTTGTTGATATCTAAATAGAAAATGCACAGAACCTCGGCATACTACCAAGTATTAATATTCGAATTAAATAGGGCTACCACTAAATGGAGTAAAATGAATAGTGATGATTTGTATAGCCAATCATAACTAGGTTGTTATTGAGATGTATTTGTTGTCAGTGTTTTTAAGAGAAAATAAGCGCAAAAAAGTGACAAGGTCCGTGAGGCATAAAACAAGAAGTAAGCACACACTTCTTCGAAATGAACACATAAATGTCAAACATATATGAATTTAGAACTATAGGAATCAAATTGCAATTGGAAAAACTAATTTCAGCATATAATATACAATAATGCAGACATAAGTCCAAGTCCTCAAAGTTGATATTCAAAAAAATCGACCGCTTCTTGTTTGGATCAGTGTGTGTGTCATTGTTTGAGGCACAGATTTCTTTGAAGCACATGGCTTCACCTATGAAGTGATCACCCCACCCTTTGCATCTCCCTTATCCAGCGAATATGGCTTTTACCAACTCTGGTTGATGTTGCTGTAAGTTGTACAAATATATTTAAGATGCAAACTTGAGGGAACAAGTTCAAAATTACCCGTAGGTGTACGAAAATCATATGCCGGGACTGCAAATGCAGGTTCTGAGCCAAGACCAATTTCTGAGACTACAGAAGCTATAACAGCACTCAGAATAACCATTGAAGTTGTATTTGTCAAGGACAAAGACTCTGCAGGTGATGGCCATAACACAGATTCCACAGCAAAGAAACAACCCGCAACAGCAGCATTAAATCCTTTAAGTAGAAAACAAGAAGAGTTTCAAAGTGACAAACAGTTTAATCATGGAGAGAAAGTCACTGAAAAGATGTTACAGGAAATTATTAGCAAAACAAGAAGTAAAATATTTCCAGAAAATGAACTCCTACAAGGCAGAAGATGCTGACAGCAGATAGAAAGAAGAAAATGTTCATTGAACATCCACCGACAAATCAAAACTATAGAAGAGGAGCTACATTAGCTTGTTAGCAATGAAGAATGACAAAGAAATATGTCACAATAACTGATCCAGAAAAACGAAATAGTTCACAATTATTACCACTCTTGCTCTTTTCCTGCAAAGTTTCCTAAGATGAAACTGCATTAGGTGACATTCTGTTCCTTTTTTTTTTGGATACTAAACTCAATCAACTTCCATTCTTTTTTCTCTTTCTCAGCAATGGCCGCACATATTCTGAATTAAGTTCATAAAATCTTTGCCTGTTAATGAATTTTTTGTCTTCCAATAAACACAAAAGACATTTGGTATTTATGTTCCTTGTAACAAATCGTTTGAGATCAGATTCCACAAATCATCCTTTAGGAATCGACAATTGTGAACCATTTCATTTAATTTGGACCATTGATGTGAAATCACCAGCTAGATACATCCCTGCATTGTTCCAGAAAAATGGCAAATATTTTATTAAGGATAATATCTTAATGGCAATGCAAGAAGCATTATCTAATACAGGGACAGAATGGTCGTCTTCCGTCAAGATGTCATTCATACAGTATCCCCGCTCACCAAGTTCAAGTTCTCACAGTGCAAAGGAGAAGTGATATAACCATGTAGGCATGGAGAATACTGTAGAAACATTCAAGAAGTGTTCTATTAATTGAGGGACAAGTTCATTAGGTGACTTTGCAAAGATGGTGGAGTTATCATTACATTAGCAACTAGTTGATGAGCAGTCTATTTTATCTAGTCAATGAAATTAAATGGTTCATATAATAAACGGTACTACTGACACTAGCATTATTCAGTCAAAAGGAAGTGAATTTCCCTTGATGAGTTGAACTCTGTACAATAAGGGGAAACTACAAAGAAGTGGAATATGGACATCATATCCCGTAGCAAATAGAGTAGCCAACTTACAAATGAACCATCTATTCTTTCTAGCCCCTTCTTGTCTCTTCGACTCTATTTACCATCACACATAAAACCATACAAACTGATCCATGTTAGCAATTAAATTGCAGGAACTATACAAAGCCAATCTATGTCAGCAGTACAATTTCAGCAACATATGAACCCAAGAGCAGTTGGGTATGTTCCTGCAGTAGAAGTCACAGTTCATAATTCAAACATAGACTTACATTTTGTGAATGACTTCCCCAAGATACTTAACAAATTATATTTTGATTTTATTTAACTTCAAGTACTTCAACAACAAAAAGGACCTGGCAGAATTTTGGAAATAATAAAACCTGGGAAATCCTCTAAAAACTAGTTCAACCCTGAAAATAATGACAAGACTATCTCTATAGAATATGTGCCCCTTCATGGACTTTCAGAAAGAACTCTGCAAATGCCTAGTGGTTTTTTTACTCAGTTGTCAAATGAATGAGGAGTTGCATTTTCTATATTGCAAGAGTCTTTGATTTGGTGATAGCTAACTCGCGATTTCAGAATGAGGAGCACTTGGTCACCTTTTGTAGTTCGGTGGAAAAGACTCAAATCAATTACCTACTCCTTACGAAGAGTGATAGAGGTTTATGCAAGGATTATAAGGTTATCCCAAGTGAGAACCTTACAACCCAACACAACACAAGCTCTTAGTAATGGATCTAGTGATTAAAAGAGGAAAAAGAGGGCTTTGTCTGACCAACCAAGGATTAAGTTGGGGGGCTTGACTAATAATTAAATTCAGGAGTTGGGGGAGAAGTTGATGGCTACCGGGGCCTAAGAGAGTAATGGGGATGCAAAAAGTATGTGGATTAGGACAACTAAGAGTATTAGGGAAGCAGCTAAAGAGGTGTTAGGGGTCTCGAAGGGTAATTTTGGTGGACATAGGGGGGACTGGTGGTGGAATAGAGAGGTCCAAAGGAAAGCTTTAGACAAAAAAGGTTGCTTCCATGAAGTTACCAGTTACCACAGAGAAAAAATGAGGAAAAGAAGAGGCCAAATAGGAAGACGTATAAGACTATGAAGAACGAAGTAGGGACAGTGGTCACGGCGGCTAAAATGACAACATTAGAACCCTTGTATGAAGAACTAGAGAACAGAGGTGGGGAAAAGAAGGCACGAGAAAGGAGGACTCGCGACCTAGACCAATTAAGATGCATTAAAGACAAGGATGGCAAAGTATTGGTAGAAGAAAAACACATAAAATGAAGATGGTAGCCAAACTTCCATAAACTCTTAAATGAAAAGGGGACAAGAATGTAGTGTTGGGTTCTTGTAATGACCCTCCTGGTCATTTCTGTGTGTCGTTTAAAGCGTCTAGTCCCATGTGCTCCAGTATGATGCAGTCGAGTTGGATGATCGTTTGACATTTGTAGAGGAGCCAGTTGCCATTCTAGCCAGAGATGTGAGGAGATTGCGCTCGACAGCCATTCCTGTTGTTAAGGTTCGTTGGAGGCATCGTCCAGTCGAGGAGGCTACCTGGGAGACCGAGCAGGAGATGCGAGAGCAGTTTTCCAGCTTGTTTGAGCCTTCAGGTACTTCTTGATCCTTTCTTTCGCGGACGAAAGTCCTTTTTAGTAGTGGATATTGTAATGACCCTCTTGGTCATTTCTGTGTCTTGCCTTCTGTGTGTCGTTTAGAGCGTTCCTGTAGCGACCCCAAGTCATTTATGACTTGCTGTGACTGACAGTTCGGTCACCTGGTCGTTCGTTTGGTCTTGGTGCGAGTTTTTGTGTTTTGGAGCTTATGAACCTTGAACGATCATTTTCGATCAAAAGTTCAAGAAGATGACATCGTAATCCAATTCTGACGATTCCATCAGCTCCGGAAAGGTCATTTTGGGATAGTAGCATGGTCAGCATGACTCCCGAGGTTTTCAGTGTGAGTCGGTGCGATTAGGCGTTTTAACTTTAAATTTAAGCCTAAGTTTGACTTTAGTCAACATTCTGAGTAAACGCGCTAGGATGAGAATTCCGTCAGCGCGGTTAGCTCCGGAATGTCGAGTTTGGTCTAGATTGACCCTTCTTTTGTGTCCTGAGGTTTCCGATATTTTTCGAAGCCTTTATGTGGTTTTTAACTTAAAATGGTGTTTGGTGTGGGACCCACTTTTTGTCAAGATGACCTCGTATGGAAATTTTGACTGTGCCATTGAGTCCGGAATATCAAATTTGGTATGGTTGCATATCTCATTTGCGTGCATGGGGTTCCGAACGAGTTTGGAGCACCCCGTCAGAGTTTTTAAGTTTTCGAAAAATATGCTGAAAATCTTATATATAATGCAGAAAATCAGCAGTTTTTTCAAAACTTTAAAATCTCCTAACTCTCTCATCTCTCAACCGAATTAGGCGATTCGAAGTGCGGGAGCTTCGTATTTTTGGTGACTTCGCTGTAGAGTGTTCGGAAGTTGCCGGGTGCGAGTCGTTCGAGGTAAATTTGGTTATAAACCTGACTGTTAGGCCCATTTTCGAGCTTTTGTTTTTGGTCTTCTTGTTTGGGTCATATCTCACTCATTTTAGCTCGGTTTTGGGTGATTCGAAGTCCCACGTGTTGAAAATTATTGTGGCTACGTCGTGGAGTGTTCAAGGAGTGTTGGGCACCATTCCATTCTCGTAAATTCCGAGTTTAGACTACTGCATGTTTTCTTTTAAGTTGATTAAGTGTGGTTTTCTTGCATGTTGGGTTTTGCTGCGTTTTGATCCCCGAATTGTGTTTCATTTTGGAACACAAGTTCGAGATACTATTTTGGGTCTCTTGGCGGAGTCAAATCCAGACAGTTCGGTGCGGGTCCCACGATTCCCGTTTTGACTCCAAAATTGACTTGTCTCCGTTTGTTGTATTTTGGCGTCTAAACGACCGTACTAACGTTGTGATCTTATATTTGATAGAGTGACAGCTTTCAAAGGTCGTTCGGGAAGGAAAAGCTCCGGCAAAGTGATTTGGAGCGTGCACAATCAGCCTTAAGGTAGGCTACGGCTTCCTTTCTATTAGATTGAGCTTAATTGTGTGAAAGCATGTCGATTGGAGTGAATTGGGGGTGGGTACTAGTTTCCTACTTTACTTTGATTAGATACCCTATGTTAGGATCGATTGGCCATATTTCGGGTGTAGCATCATGTTAACCGATTTAGTAGAGTTGCATGCTTATGTGTTAAATGTTATTGTATGCTTGTATGTTATGTGTTGTATGTTTTGTGTTGTATGTTTTGTTCATCCTTAACCGTAAGCATGATGTCCTTAGTCTAGGTTAGACTAGCATTGCCTTAGACTTATGACCCGTGTGAGTTGGATAGCCTTGACTTTCTACCGACGTCGTTCGGATGACTTAGCTCCTTGCAGACTGGAGTAGCAGACTTAAGTATGATAGTTTGAGCCTTCGATTAGGCGTTATCGCTGCTTGTTGCACTTCTGTATCTTCTCCCTCTAATTTTGCAATTTCGACGCATTCTCAAAGGTTCAGTGCATCACTAGAGGCATGGGATTGAGATAGTATAGGCTTGGAGCCTTTTCTGTGATTTCTTGGAGTGGACGGTGTTCCACGGTAGCTGTTGCTGGATTGGATCCTATTGGAGATACCATCACTCCTGGGGTCGTTCTTTCTAGCTGGGCTGGGAGCGTATCGCTGATTGGGCAGACTCGGTGATTTCGGCGATCGCCCCCGGGCCTCTATTTCTAGCTGGGCTGGGAGTGTGCTGCTGGCTAGGTGTCCCCGGGTCGCTCTTTTTAGCTGGGCTTGGGAGCTGACTGCATGGTAGGACGACTCGCGATATCTACCTCCACCCCCGGGTCCCTCTTTCTAGCTGGGCTGGGAGTGGATTGTATGGTTGGGTTCCCCTCTTTCTAGTTGGGCTGGGAATGCACTGCTAGCTGGGAGGAGTCTGATGGATTATCTTGGTTACTATCGGTTGGGAGCCCGATTTTCTTTTTTCTCAATAGACTTAGCTATTATGTGTACATGTCGGGCTTATGGGGGTTCGTTCAGGTTTTATTTAAACTTGCGTACGAGTGTACCTTCTAGGCTTATGGGGGTCCAGTTAGGTTTAGTTTAGTTGTACTTAGTTTATTTTTGGTATGCTCGTATGCTTTCATTTCATATCCAATTTGACCTCTTTGTGCCTAGATTCTATCATTTCTTATTGTTTTTACCCTTTTTGCTCAGTCGGCCTTTGATGCCTACTGAGTACATGTTGTTTTGGTACTCATGCTACACTCTGCATCTATTTCGTGGTGCAGGTCCCAGTACCAGTTACCAGCGGTGATTAGTTCTAGCCTTCTTTTGCAACTGTGACTCGGAGACGAGGATGAGCACTTGACGTTTTGGGTTTGTTCTGTCTCCTTCTTTTGTTTTACCTAGTCTTGTTGCTTTTGAGACACGTTTTGTTGTGGTCCACTTTTGGGACTTGTACTCCTTATTAGACAGCTCTGTACTAGTGACTTCCAGGTTCTGGGAGGGATTTCTGTATATATTTATTTTGGTTTGTTTCCGCCTTGTTGTCCTTGTTTAGATTATTGTTTTCACTAGTTTCTGCCCTTACTCTCATTACTTGATGTTATGGGTTACGGGTTGGCTTACCTACTGGTAGGGTATGTAGGTGCCATCATGACTCGGGTCGTGACAGTTCTTTAGAGCATTCCAAAGGCCTTCGAGATTTTGGATATTATAGGTTATAAAGTTTGCGGAGGTTAAGAGACCAATTCGTAAGATGACATGAGAAAAGCGACCTAACTAAATGAGATTCCGATGGAATTTTGAAGAGTACAAGCAAAGTAGGTATGTAATAGCTAACTGGGCTGTTTAATGCCACTTTTGGGACGACTAAAATGCTTGAAGAATGGAGGTGGAGTATAAAGATCTTGTTGTACAATAACAAGGGTGATAGTCAAAATTGAAACAATTATAAAAAAAAAAATCAAACAACTAAGCCACACTATTGAAGTTGGGGAGAGGGTGGTAGAAATAAGGATAAGGAGGGATGTGTCTATTTCTAAGAATCAATTCAGATTCATGTTAAGGCCATCGACTACGGAATCATTTGTCTTTTAAGGAGATTGTTGGAACAAATTAGGGATAGGAAAAGAGACTTGAATACGGTGTTAATCGGTGTATAAAAGGCATACGACAAAGTCTCAAAGGAGGTTTTATGGAGATGCTTGGAGTCTAAAGGATACATGTGGCATACATTAGAGATATAAAGGACATGTACAATGGAGCCAAGACCTAAGTGAGAACAATGGGAGGAGACTTCGAACACTTCTCATTTAAGATGGGTTGCATTAGGGATTAACTTTTAACCCGTTTATAGCATAGGTGATGGATGAATTGGCATGGCATATTCAAGGAGTGGTACCATGGTGTGTGTTATTTCCAAATGACATGATATTGATTGACATACGAAAGAGTTAACGATAGACCGAAGATTCGGAGATAGACTCTAGAGAGTCTAAAGGTTTCGGATTGAGTAAGATAAATACAGAGTGCAAGTTCAATGATGCATCACGGAAAGCTGATGTGGAAATGATGATTGATACACAAGTTCTCCCTAAGATAAGGAATTTCAGGTATCTTTGATCAATAATCCAAAGGAATGGGGAGATCGATGATGATGTTACATATTCAGTGTCCTTTGTGATAAGAACATTCCACCAAGACTTAAAGATAAATTTTATAGAACGGTGGTTAAAACAACTATGTTGTACAAGGTAGAGTGTGAACCAATCGAGAACTCACACGTCCATGAGAAGAAACTAGCAAAAATGAGGTTGCTAAGATAATGTGAATGCATACTAGGAGAGACAAGATTACGAACAAGAATATATAAGACAAGGCGAGACTGGCCTCCGCGGTGTACAAGATGGGGGAGGTGAAGCTAAAACCGAGATGATTCAAGCATATGGAGAGGAGGAGCGCAAATGCCCGAGTGAGGAGGTGCAAAAAAATTGGAAGTGACAGGCTAATGAGAGGTAAAGGTAGAGGTAGACCGAGGAAGAATTGGAGAAAGATGATTAGACAAGACACACATTCAGCTCACCGAGTACATGACCCTAAATATAAGAGCATGGAAGTTGAGGATTAGGATAGAAGGTTAGTAGACAGTCGAGCGATTTCTCTCTTTTGGAGGGACATTCCTAGTTTAAAGCACCTTATTTGCTCCCTCTTCTCCTTACCAGTATTGTTATTGTTATTCCATCATTATCTTATTCGTTAATTGTAGTGCCGATGTTGTTTCTTTTACTTCGGTTATCTTTACTATTCTTGTTGTTAATATTTTTCTTATCTTCAATATTTTCATCATAGCTTCTTTATTCTTGTAATTTTCAAACCTATTTTTTAAAATATTTTTCTTGAGCCGAGGATCTATCGGAAACAGCCTCTCTACCCACAAAGATAGGGGTAAGGTCTGTGTACACCCCCACCCACCCCACCCTCCCCAGACCCCACTTGTGGGATCACATTGGGTATAATGGTTTTGTTGTTGTTTTATACTGCAAATGCCTTGTATTAAGGCTCCCCAAGAATTGCTTTATACACGTTCAGTTAGATACTGAGAATATTGGGAAAAACAAGTAGAAGACTCAAACCAAATAATTCCAGGTTTTTTTTATGTAATTCCATTCCAACTTGCTACTCGAGCTTAAGATTGCTATACATAAAAGTAAATTGGAGTTTTCCTTGTCTAGCTATCAACAGCTAGCATGAAGCATTGCTTTTGCTAATTCAACTTGAAGGGAGACAAAAGTCGTCTATTAAATCATCCATATCTCAATACTCTACTACTACATAACTGGAAGAGACCTCAAGCAACATAACTACACTATGTGGTTGGGGTAAATGTCATTTATCACTACAGATAAAGATAATCATAGACATTATAAGAACTTACAACATGATTGATTATATCTGATGAATTTGAAAGAAAAAGACCAAAATAGCACACGTATGGTAAGATTGAACCTTGTGGATATAGACATGAAATAACATTTTAGGACATGTCAGTTTTTTCTGTTTGCTGAACTTTTGATACGATGTGAAAAGTTCAATGGTAAGTTTAGGTCCATAAGCTGCTGGGTAAGTGATTGGATTCTTACCTAAGGAAGAATACATCAATCAATGTACATTCACTTTCCTTACCTATACTTCAGTTTGAGTATTTTGCTTTTGACAGTTGCCTACTATGACACTTTGAGGTCATTTTCATTTCCAGCTCAAGGTCAAGGATTGGGGGAAAAGCTTTACTTCTACTATATAATAAGCCTGGAAAAAGTATTAGCTTGCAGGAACCAAGAAGTTGTCTGGCTCAACTTTATTGACAGCCAACAGTTTGAACATCTAGAGCAAGGAACTGGTTAAACAAACCTTCAGAAGTATATCATAGTACTAAGCAGAATGTAGGCACTGGAAATTGATGTTCTAATTATTGCATAGGAGTCTGGTTTTACCCGGTGCGCACCCAAAGGGTAGCGGCTACGGATTTCCCTTGTCATCAAAAAAAATTTATAGCTGATATTGCATCTCCCCTCGAAATCAAGAAGTAAGCTTAACTTATAGTTGGTTTTGTAGTGCTTCTGCTTGCTTAAGGGGTTCACCCTTTGTACAGTTTATTTGGTTTGCGAGATGCAAACACGTTCGCATTTACAGGCTACACGTAAGTATAAGAAAAATGTACCATATTTAAATCAGAACCAAGAATAATGAGGGAACATACCAGAAGAGATTCCAGCAGCTGATCCAGCAGCCTTGAGAGATAGCTTTCTATGAGCACCTTTATCGAGCAGAGCTCCAATTCCCTTGGCAACTGAAGTACCAATTTCAACACTTGGGCCTTCTGGTCCTAAGGAATTTCCAGTTCCTAAAGTGACACAAGCAGCGATTGTCTTCAAAACTGGTCTCAAGACAGATTTAACAGATGATGTCCAATTTCCTTGCGTTGAGACGTCCAGTGTAGCTCGGAAAGTGTTCAAAAAACTGACTAGCAAACCGCCAGAAGCTGGTACTAAGATTACACGTTGCCAAATTACTCCAATGGGCTCCTCCCTTAACCACGAGGCACCTCGAGACGGAATCCCATCCCAACAAAAATCGCGTATTTCATGAACCTAACCAAGGGAGATGTCAGTTATTATATGAATATTCGGAGAATAAGATGAAAAAAAGGAAATAGAAAACCTATGACGCACCGCAGCGTTGAAAAGCACGACACTGATACCGGTGAAGAGGCCAACAAAGCAAGCGGAGATTATTGCCGTGTTGCCTTGTGCATTTATCTGGATACCACTATCACTATCGTCGCACTTTTCAGCAGAGGAGCGTCCGTGTCCGGGAGGAAGAGACGGTCGAGCCCAACGCCAGCAATTTGAACAACGTATTCGTACGTGTCCAGGAGGAAGAGACGGTCGAGCCCAACGCCAGCAACTTGAACAACGTATTCGCGATTGATGACGACCAAATCGAGGGCCAGACTGCCAGAATGGAGCTTTATCGTTGTTACAGCGACGGGATATGGAATTCAACCACGAATTTGGAGTGCAACTAGTCGTCGACAATGCCACCATCATTATTTCATGTCTCAATAACTTTGTGAAACCAATAATAAATCTACCACATTATTTATTTTATTTATTTACAATATTGCTGCATCACAACTTCTTCTTTTTAAAATCCCACTTTCATTTCTTTATCTTTTATTTTCTTTTGTGGATGACTTCTATTTTCCAAGTAAAATACTCAAATCCTAGCTTTTCCATTAATCTATCTCTCTTCGATATTTTATATTATATATATATATCTTAAAAGCGAACTTTCTAACTTAAATATTAAATTATTATAATGTCCCAACTAAAAATACCTCCTACTTTGATTGTTAAATTACCACAACTAAAAACACCTCATAATTTGAATGTTAAATTACTATTATATTACCTCAAATTAAAACCATTAAATTTAATATATCTTCTATATTTTCTAATTATTTATATTATATTAAAAGCATACACTTTTTCAGGTTGTAACTTGTCCGAATGATTATGACTTTTCCAATGAGTTGTGACTTCAAAAATATATCTTTGTTAGACAATCACTGGAAGCCTATACATGTAGAACAATAAATGCAATACATGGCCATTGTTTATGCAATGAAACCCAGTTTGGAGCTGCAATGCCCTGTTAACTATTCTACCATTGTTCGGTGAAAAATAAACGTAGTGTCACAATCAGCACAGCCTTACACGTGGAGGGGGAGGGGGAGGGGGAAGATACAGAAAAGGAATCCCACTAGAGATGGTAGCCCTCTTTGATTCCAGACGAGGAGATGCAAACACAAGAAAATCCCCCTTGTGCTCGCAGCTCCTCTTTGTTTCTACTGGGAATGGTGGAGGTAGAAGTCATACAATGGATAATCAAAACAGAATATCGCCACAATCTCAATGCGTTATAGCACCAGCAGACAAAGGCACATTTGAGCTGAACGACTCCCATTGAGTTTCTCTCAATATCTTAAATCTTTCATCAAATGTAACAAACCCAGCTTGGGGTGCTACAGAGCCAGATGTTCCAGCTTTATAGAGCAACACTGTGGTGGCCCCAATATCAGGTCCATGAAGCTTTCCTGTTAGCAACACCCGAAGGGGCATGAAGAGAGATTTTCCCTGGTACATAAAGCAACCTCATTAAATACTGAAAAAGAAACTTAAGAGAAAAAGAAAATACTCAGATCGAACCTTGCGCTTCAGCAATTTACCGAACTTCTTCACCCAGTTTTTCCATCCAGGTTGGCCTTCTGCAAGTGCACCACAGAGCTCGCCACTGTCATAGGCCGCTAACAAGCTCTTAGCAACTTCAGAGACTCCATCTTCTAAGATCAGTTTTCCTTCCGTGCTGCAAATGGCATACCATAAATAGTGTGTCACATACTATAAGCTTTTCTTCTTTTAGCATCATTTCAGGGTGTTTCTAATTGGTAATACATCGAAGCTTCCACTCCTAACACTGTTTGGAGATATTACACAACGCATATTTTCCTGACTGCTTGCACTTCTTACACTGTTTAGCTTAATGATCCTTCGAGGAAGTTAGAATCTGTGCTTAACATAATCCTTCAAGATTTTAGCTTATGATGTAACAAATAGTTTCCAAAACCACCATTTCTCTACACCCACTCTTCTCTCTTGTGCATCCCTTTCTCTTTCTAGGAGTCTGGAAATTATTTGGCATGCATCTCTTTTCCCTGGAGACTTGTAGTAGACAAGGCCCCTAGTTTGGACAATTTCATGTTGACTTTCTTTCAACACTGCTGGAGCAGATCAAGGGGCGGTGATGGAGTACAATTGCATTTCAAGAAATTAGGAAGTTTGAGACAAGCCTTTGACACATATTTTATTGTGATTTCGCTGATTAGGCAACGAGTAATTGAATATTAAGTACTTTTTAATAATTGTGGTATCCGGGCCAGCTGGATGCACCTCGACTAATTTCACAGGGTACCTTCTACCTCCCATCAGCATAGGTAGAGGGAAGATACCACCTAGTGCTTTTGCCTCCAGCGGAATTAGTGAATATCAATGACTAAGACCTTATAAATTACAAAGGTGTCAGACAAGACATCGTCTCCCAGAAAGAGTTCATGAAAGGAGGAGAGATTCTAGACATGGTTTTGGTGGCAAATAAAGTTGCCGACCCAACAAGAAAAAAAGGGAGAGGGATCTTATACAAATTGGCCCTCAGGAAGTTACAACCATGTGAATTAAAAGCTGCTGCATTTTATCATAAAGAATATAGGATTTGGAATAAGTTGAGGAAGTGGATCAAGTTCTACATCTCATGGTCAAGTACTGGATCCTAGTAAGTCGAACACATGCAGATATTTTGGTAGCTTGAGGGATCTGTAACAAGGAAACTTGTTGTCTCTTATGTTGTACATTATGGAAATGAAAACGCTGGGGCAAATAAGCAGAGATGTCATTCGAGGCTAACCTCCTGGGACAAAGGAAAGAATTTACAAGACTAGAAGATTGTTGAATTCAAGTTTGATTGACATACTCTAATAGAACACAACACATGCTAGCAAGGACTTATAGAGGTACAGAGTGAAGAGAGAGGGAGTGTTCTCAGTAAAGTCATACTATCACAGGCTTATATTGAAGGACGAGTTGGACTTTCTACACTTAAACTGTTTGGGTACCCAAAGTACCCAGAAACGTGTTATTTTTAATGGGCAGCAAGGACGATGACAAAAATTTGAAAAAAAAAAGAGAAAAATGGTGTATATCAACTGGTGTTATATGTGTAAATGTCCAGGCGAAGATGTGGATCATCTTTTGTTGCACTATCGGGTGGCGACAAGATTTTGAGTGGTATTGAATTGGCTTGGGTTAAATTAAAAGATGCCATAATTCTCATGGCGCAGCATAACGCACGGAATGTTACCCCTTAGCCCTCATGTGGGTCCTGTGGAGAGAAGAACAAAAAGGGTTTTGAGGGGATAGATTATGCACATATAAGGAATGGCCTATTGTTCGTCGTTAATTTTTCAAGCACCCATGAGGTCCCTGTTTGTATAGGAGATTGTGTATCTTCTCTAGAGAACTGTTTTTTTTTTATTGACAAAAAAATAAACTTCTCTAGAAAAAGCATATTTATTGTAGGTTCTTTAGCTTTTTAAGCATTGCTTGCATACAAGATTTTTCCCACATAAATAAAATTATTTGGCTTATAAACAGTTACTGATATGCAAGAGCAAAGTGTTGAATTAGCTTTCCACCTCCTGTTAATATTCAATGCTAGCTATATTGCTTCAGCTAGAGAACATTTTAATTACAGCTGCAGCATAAATGATGCTCCAGTTGGAATAGATAATTCAGAAAAGGGTTATATTTGCCCATGTACTATTAAAAATAAGCTATATTTGCCCTATGTCCTACATTTTCAATGAATATACCCCTACAATTATACTTCAGAATTATATTTACCCCTCGCCTGTTAAAACTAGCTATATTTACCCCTCACCCATTCAAACTAGCTATATTTACCCCACCCGTTAAAACTTCATTTTCAGCTTTAGACAGTCACATGTCATGCTCTTATTGAACGAAAAAATCAGCCTCATTTTTATAGAGTTCACTATAAAACACCAGGCTATATTTACCCCACTCTAAAGTGTAAATTGATTTATAATAGAACATTGAAAACGGAATAAATTGTTGCCAGAAATTAATTTTCTTTCTGGGAAAATAGCATGCTTTTTAAAAAAAAACTAGTAATGTTAAAACTAGCATGCTTTTTGGACAAAATCCAGAATTAAAAGTAAAGCACTCCACTATATTCTATTTTAAATCATGCCCAAGTGGTAATTATATAACTGAACATTACATGAGATTTAATTTCTCTCTTTTTAATATAACCTTTTTTATTTAATTTACAAAAAAATACAAAGTTCAACATATATATCACCCGCCTCACAACAAATATAAGTATTTCATCATTTTCAGCTATCATTTTAGCTCAAAACAATTGTCGCTTTAGGAATTCAAGATTAAAGTTGACAATTGTTTTCAACCACACCCTTAACATTAAAGTAGTTCTTTTTAGTACTACTCAATTCTCAAAAAGCATTTAATAAATAGGAATAATTTAATAAATTATACCTTGTATTTATTAAGTAAATTATAACTAATAAGACTTGGTTTTGTTGCATAAGAATGAGATGAAGGAATTGGGGAGAAGAAAGATTAAGGAGCTTTGGACCAACAATTGATTTTGCAGGCTCAACTACACCTTCCGGATAGAGAGAAATGAGAGTGATTTGGGTGCGGGCAAAAAAGTGAGGCTGATTTTTTGGTTCAATAAGAGCATAACACATGGCTTTTTAAAGCTGTAAAATGAAGTTTTAACGGGTGAGAAATATAGCTCTATAGTATGACTATAGGAGGATATTTGTTGAAAAGGTATAACGAAGGGTAAATATAGCTTATTTTTTATAGTAAAGGGGCAAATACGACCCTTTTCCATAGATAATTGGTTGCCTTTACAAAGAACCAATGTTTTTTGTGGAACTCGTCGTTTGTGTTCACTTGGTAATGGAGTAAATGGGAATAACTCTCCATTTTGCTATAATTTGTTACCTTTATTTATTCTAACAAAATTGAGCTCATTAATCAACAAATATTCTCATTACCGCCTTAATGATTAGACCAAATTGAAACCTCCATGTTTTCTATCTAGACTATTCATTCTCTTTGAGGAGAAATTTTTTCATCTTTTAGCATCACATAGGTATAGTTTTAAAACATAATTTCATGGATCACCTTGCCAAAGTTTCATATAAAGGATAAGATAGCAAACTTGAAAGTGCTTTCTCTGAATCTGGTATCAAGTCAATCCCATCTTTGAGGAGTAGAACAGCATCCTATATATACAGAAAATTTAACAGGTATAAGAACCATAACTCCAAAGTACATTGAGCAACAATTTTTTGAATTGATATTTAATGACTAGCATCTATGCAACAGCCATTGGGGAAAGATTATTAAGAAAAATCCTCCAAAATCTCATCGTTAGATCTCCACAAAGATGATTAAGAAAAAATTTTCAGTAACAATGTGGTTGAGA